TATTAAGTTAAATCACAAAACGTGGAAAATAGTGTTTGTCATATACATGTTACTAACTATGTATCTCAATTGAATTGTAACACTTTAAACTTATGTATGTATCAAATATAAAATTGAACCACTGAAAATAGCTCATTTAGGTTGAACCTTTACTGTAATGCCCAAACTTCTTACGATTTTCATGGATTTAATGTAATGATAACAAATATGACGCGGAGTGTAGATGTCAATATAATACAACGATATTAAAGGTCTAATCATAACCCGTGTCAAATATGGCAATTCTTTCATAATTATCATTTCTTAATTACGATGCAACTATCAAACAGAATACAATACTGTTATTCTTGCACATATAATCATAAACAAATTAATAAACAATATAAAAGATAAAAATTGTATTCTAAAATAAAATTATACCATACTCTAGTTATATGAATGGTAGGAATGGTTGATGTTTTGAAATGTAGATCTCTAGTTCGGATATACTTTCAGATGTAAAAACACCATTAGTTCGTCATTATACTGTATATATAGTAACTTGTTGGTACATGTATTTTGATATTATTGTTAAATTTTTGTTGTTTTTATTACCTGAAATAATTAACACAGCTTATATAAAAATATAATATGAAGTAGAAATCAAAAGAAAAAAATGAATTGAGCAATTATACGATGCAGAGGACATTTTCATCACAGTTCTTTTACAGGTCTAAATATATATAAGTTAATGTACATTTGAAAAACATAAAAGAGGCATACAAAAAGTTATGGAACGTTTTAATAACTTTAAGACAAGGTTAAAACCCGAGGAATATGCAGTAAAATGTAAGCACATTTCTCGATCAAAACCTCAAGACAAATGTCTAAACCTCAAGACAAATGTCTAAACCTCAATGAGCCCTGCCACTTTTTGTTTCATCGAAAGTGAGATAAAACACAATATACCATGTTCTAGAGACGCCTTTTCACATAATAAAAGATAAACCACAGGTAAACAGCTTAACATGCTGTTTAAAAAGTACAACTATCTAAAACGCTTCAGGATTCTTTGATCGAAATGAATGGCTTGTACACACATGTCATCTCTTCTTATCCTTGGGTCTTTTATTGCTGATCCATGATATTCCGAGTGTAGCCCCAGGCTGAAGTAGCACATGCTACGTTACACAGACAACGCGTCATTGACATGTTGTCTCCATACAAAAGTGTCAGATCTATGTTCTCCAGGTATCTGATTTATCATATAAATATTAACATAATCAGCATGCATGCTTTTAAAGCGCGCCAAGATTTTCTTAAGTATCGCAAAACTCCATTTTAACATATGTGACGCACTAAAATGCTTTTATTGAAATGTGCGCTAGATATTCTACGATGCTTCAAAAAGCCCTTAAATTTCACCGCATTGCAATTAAAATAAAATAAGTGTCTTTAAATATCGCAGACATCATTTTAGAGCATTCAGGGAATTAAAATGTTGCAAGAAGGATTCAGCGCATTCATTGCACTTGAATGTAGCATGAGCCATGAAAGCGTTCCCAGCTTATTTGAATGTCACAAGAGCCATGAACAAAAGCGCATTCATTGTACTTAGCCAAGACAACGTTTCAATTTATTTGAACATAGAAAGAGTCATGAAAGTGTATTTCTTTAGTATACGTAAATGTAGCACAAGCCATGCAAGCGCACCAAGAACATTTGAATGTTGCAAGAGCAATGAAAGTGAATTTAGTGTACTTAAATGTCGCAAGAGCCACGAAAACGCATTAAGCAGATATTGCCTTATGTATTTAACTATCGCTTGAGCCCTTAAACAAAAGTGAGTGAGACTTAGTTAGTGCAACGCACGCCTTACAATCAAAGCTTAAACATGTTAAATCTTGCTTAAGAATAAATATAGCAATGAGAAAATCAGTAAACATAATAATGACTTTTACAACAAATATAACTATTTCTTGCTTAACTTACCTGCTGATTATTTTATATACATATCCTTCCCTATTTAAAAAAACATAGTTATATTCTCTGTTGGTCACTCTTAAAGTGTGATTCTGATTATGCAACAGTCTTGTTTATGCCAAGATGAATAAAGAAAATGCTTCCTATAGTGCCTTTTACAATTTTGACGTATTCCACAGTTATCTTGCCTTTTCCTGTATGCTTCCATATATCACCACTGCTTCCATTAATCCTCAATGTATAAAAGAAGAATTTCTATTTAGTAATGTAGAGAAATCACAGAAATACGACTTTGTCCTGCTTTTTGGGTAATTAACTTTGTCCGTTAATGCGCACAGCAACTGAAAAGCTTTCTTTGCACAATTCATAACACAGCTTTCATAATTTAAAACTCACTTTGCACATGGTAATTCAAAGAAAGAATACTTTGCACGATAGATTCACATTCATGCATAATTTAGAGCACAGTTTATGATACAGAGCACATTGCAGAATTGATAGCGTTCTTTGTGGATGATATAGTTGAATTTACACAATTCTGTTGATTAAGAGCACACTGGTATGACGTAAAGCGCATTATCACGATTTAAAGCAGTCTCTGATATCCAATAACACTGCGTATTTGACCAGCATAACTCGACAACGAAATATAGACTATAACATTCAATATTTTGCCTGAACATTCAGATTTTTTCAAAAATGAGCTTCATGTCATTTCAACCAATCAAAATACTTGTTACAACAACAGTTCCTTGACAAGAAGTTGTTTCCCCCATTTAATATTCATGTATAGGCGTTTAGTTAATTCACCCACATTTATCATAACTGGTATAGAGACCCTTGTATCTTTTTTATCTTTAGAACATATACTAGCAAACTGTATTCGACTACTTATCATTTTATATCTTAACAAAATCTTATCAAACATAAGCATCTACAATGAAAGAGCAATGTTTGTAAATTTCCGATGAAGGTGGCAAATCACTTAACTTAATACTATAATCGTACAAATGTAATATTGAATGATTATTTTATCATGTTCAACGTTTATTCTGTGTTTTAGATATTCCATACATGTCTAATAATAGATAATTATATTTTTGTTACGACACTTTCCAAAGTTCAACATGGTAATATGAAAGTAACATGTTTGTACATGTACAGTATCAGATTTGTTGTCAGCATATTTACCAGCGAAAGTTTCATACCTTTTATTTTAACAAGAACATACAGAATTACAAACGCATGCTTTGCCTATGTGCAACCGCACAATACGTAGCAAATACATGTACGTTTTGAACTATACATGTATAGTATAATTATAATCTATGAAAATTGTCAGTCAAAAAAATGGTATGAAGTATAAAATAACCACAGTTTCACATGAAGAAAAAAATGATATATTCAGACAATGAAAATGTATGTTACATTAATTAACACATATACTCATATGAGCTTTTTGTTGTATATTGACACTTATTAAGAAAAAAAAGTGTACACATATTTAAGTAAATGTACATTATATAAAAAATAAGTGTACAACAAATTTTAGTAAGTGTACATTCTACTTACTGAAAATATAAAGAAATAGATGTACACATATTTCTATGTACTTAATTTCTATGTGTCAAATTACATCCGGGCCAAACCACGGGGAGGCGCCCAAATAATGACCCACTAATGTCTTTTCTTTTAAGAAAAAACGTTTTAATTTTTAATTATTTGCCCACAAATTAACTTGCATGTGTCAGCTTCTGTTTCACTTCACCACGCATACAACAAGTTAATTTTTTTAGACAATAAAATGCTTTTTATAACTCAGTTTTACAGAAACCCTATCATTCCCCATATTTTAGTCATAACAGATATTCCTTTTATATTTAAAGAGTATAAAGCTAAATTCAAGCTGTCTGTTATAATGTAATTACTAGTAGTAGAAAATATGTTTGTATATTCAATTTGATAAGTCATATATAAATACAGTGTAGTAATGTTTTTTGAGAATTTTTGATAAACGAAAAGGCACATAAGCGAAGTAGTAATTAATAGTACTTAAATTGACAGTGACTTTCATACTTATATAACAGACTCCGAAAAAGAGCCTCTTCCCAATAGAAAATTTCTTTAAAATCTTGCAGTTTTCCCAAAAATCTGGACTTAAATCTGCTTTTTTCTTCCCAAATTAGCAATTTTAGCAATAATTTTTCCCAAAATCAAGAGGCTAAGGCCTCTTCCCAATTAAGCGAGAAAAATCACTGATAGAAGTTGAATATTTTGTATCATTCCTAAAATAATTTCGATATTTAATGTAAAAAAATCAACACTGCAGGATTCATTTTAACATTCAATAAAAAGTAACAGAGATATCTGATTGTAAAACACTATAATATCTAAATAAAATATAAACATTCCAGTATAATTAATAATTTTTGGTATTTTCATAATACACGTCCCAAGTTATAACTTTATATCCTTTAATATCTATCACAAAGACAGACAGACAGACAGACAGACAGACAGACAGCACACCCGACTATTTGAATACTGGATAATACAATAAGGCATCACCAAGAAAAAAATCACAGTGATGTGTGAAACATAAATATCTTAATATAGATTGCTTAATTAGAATCAGCTAGGACTTATCATTTTAAGTGCCAGGAATCAGATTTAAAAACATATTAAATGTTTTGAACATTGTCATATACAATTAACTTATTCTAATTTTGAATTAAAAAAGGGGGATATTTCTTTCAATAAAGATGCCAGAGTTATTAATCTTGTCATATGTTATGTCGTTGATCAGGAACAATTTTGTCTTCAATTAAAGTTCAAAAAGAGAGGACTTCATGGCTTGTAAACAAGAAAATTAAGTTCAACAGGATGATTTTTCTTTAAATAATGGTTGTATAATTAAAAAATTTCAAGTTTGAAGAAATTTATTCAAGTTTTAAAGAAAGAAAACACAAACATAAAACACAAACACATGTAATACATGTATCAGAAAGGTCAAAATGGGAGATTATTCTTGAAAATATAGAGGCAAAAAATACAGAAACTTGTCAAATTTTAGTTGAATGATAATAAAGAATGACTAAAGTTTGAAGCATAAAATTTCAGAGATATAACATGCAAAACTTTACATGAAATTCAAAGTAAAAGGGGAAGCAATTCTTGAAATATGGATGCCAGAAATTCAATGTTTATAATGAAAAAAAAAATATAAAGTAATTCCCTTCATACAAATTTACATTAAATTTTAAGTTAAAAAGGGTAAATAACTCTTGAAATATAGGCACAATGGTTATGAACCTTCTCATATGAATTTAGGTGACAATAAAATACTACTAGTTCAGTTTTGAAGTAAATACTTTCATTAATAAGCAAGAAAGACTTACATGTACTTGTACATAATACCATAATTATAATGAATAAAAACATTAATCTGAAATCTGGACACCAACAATAACGTGTACAGGACAACTTTCCATTTACCTAATACATGTATACTCATACAGTCCTAATTCAATAACATACATTTTCATTATCAAAATATTCAACTACAATTATGAATTTAATTTAGAAGTATCACTGTGTGACGGTTTTTTTGCTACAATATTAAAGTTAAAAGTTAAAATACCACTTCATTTACATTTTGCTACCTTTATGACAAATTATTTTACATGAAGCACTATTTTCATCAAGGGATAAGCACCTCTCTTATTACAATATTTTAAAATACGTAAAAGACTAAAAGTCCTTCTAATACAATGGGAAATTTCAAAAATCGAAAGTAAGACTTTGATTGGTTGAAAAAAGACATAAGGAACATAATGAACTTTTCAAGCAATTCATGAATGATATCTAGATGAGCATACTGCTATAAAGTCAAACATAATAGTGCAATTGACAGCTTGCTCTGAAAAAATGTTTCTAAATATAGCTACTTGTAACACCAAGTACACCGCACATACAGAGATAGAAAATGTCTGCTCCTCATCAATATAATTCCAGACAGCTCATCATTATTCAAAGCTGTGTCTTGAAGATGGAAAGATGTATCTTAAATTTTTTTCATCGAAGAGTTTTTATTTTTGAAGAGATTAAAACAAACACAGATGAAGATAATTCCTCTTTGATAAGATAAAACAATCACTTTAGAACAGTAGAAAATGTTTCCAAGAATCAATTATCCGTGAAAAATGTGCTAATAAACCAGTGTGCTAGGAAAGTAATGAATTACATCTATTAGTAGACAATCCTGTAACATAAGGATCCCGACATCATCATTTTAATTGTAATCTTTTTATGCCATGAAGGTTCGAATCTTCTGACGGATATTTTTATCGCATACTATACATTTCGACAGTGGTGCTGCACACTCCATGCATAAACGATGGTGAGTACATGGAAGGAAGAGACAATTTGTCTCGTTAAGACCACATTTCATACAAAGTATGATCTTCTTTAGACGCTGATTTTCTTCAGCAGGTGTCTCTGTAAGTATAATGTAAATTTTTATCACAACTTATTTGTATTTTGTGTCAATTTAAATCAATTTTTTTCACTAAATAGTAAGAGGTTATTCATATATTGTTGAGTACAATACTGAATTATATTGGACAAGTACACAGCTGTCAAACCTATATTGTACGATGCACAAGGCGAGTCTGATAATGGTTTTACAGCTGTGTACGAGTCCAATAGAATCAGTATTGTTCTGAAAACACTAAATCATTATATTAATATATATAATAACTGCAAAAAAAGCAAAAGAAGCATAAGATGGCTCAATTTTGTGCATCTTTCTGGACACTGTGACAGTACAAAAAGCTTTTCAAAACAAGATTAATAGTTTCATAAATAAATAGATTAAAGTGGGCCTTTAATATCCTTAGATCTATATTTAATTCAATTAATATTCTTACATCTTCAATCAAAATGATAATTATTTAAATTATTATAAAGATATTATTAGCATCTTTAATCAATAATAATTATATTCTTAATTCTATATTCTTACATCTCTTAAAAAAAACTAGTACAAAATTTCTAATATTTCAGAAGGCAAAATTAATGTTATGAATTAAACCATAGATTTACACAAAAGAATATATGATAATTATGATTTAAATAACTCATAATTTACCATTGGCTACAGCCTGTAAAACTTCATTTTGTGTTTTCCTTCTTTTAATTACTTCAATCACATCAATTATCTCCTCAACTGTAGGTTTATTTGTTCCTGGAATAACAAAAGCATCTAAATTCAAGACTGTCACTTTTCAACGGAATAATTTTAGTGATTGCCAAAGGGTAATACTTGCACATACAACACTTGAATTTTACTGATTGCCAAAAGGTAATACTTGTACATATAATACTTTAATTTAATTGATTGCCAAAAAGTAGTACTGGCACATACAACACTTGAATTTCAGTGATTGCCAAAAGGTAATACTTACTCATACAACACTTGAATTTTACTGATTACCAAAAGGTAATATTTGCACATACAACACTTTAGCACATTCGATTAAACAAGACAGTCCCATTTTTCATGAAGCAGTCAAGCTAAACCATACTGACAGTGCAGTGACTACAAATATTACCAATCGCCTTCATTAATTATCTTGTTCAGTGCTTTAATCTATAACTGCCTTCTTCAATCTATAACATTTAGTTTATATGACATGTATGAACCTATTTTAGTTTGTGTTTGAAGCTATAAGCTTATTGAAACACTCTCGAATTCTTTCCTTTAAACTAACCAGTACTTAGCAATGAGTGTAAATTTTCTTGCTGAAGGAAAGAACAGTCCCAGCAATCCTTAGATTACTAGTCTGATGTGTTAATCACTTTATAACATTTGGATTTAACCTGTGCTTATTTTTTACATTAACACTTTGAGAGATGTCATCATCAAAGGAACTCCACGGAGGCCTAAAAGCCAAAACACATAACAATTTGTATTTCTTACATAGTTCAACTTCGGCATTAAAACAGAAAGATATGGAAAGGATAATTAAGAAATATACTCAGAAATAAACTAAAAATCGCATATTAATTTTGTATTATTCTACGCCCTGATTTCATTATGAATCATTTTTCATAATATTAATTGGAATAATTATTGTGAAAAAACATAGTGAGCAAATAATCTGAAATTTTGCAAACAAGTTCTTTGTCTAGAACTAAATCAAATGGAACATTAACCTTGGAAAATTATTGTCAGTCCCATCATGTAAAAAACCTCAGTGGAGTCCCTTTAATGAAAAACCTCTTACACCAGTGTAGTTTCAGCATACTGAGACCAGATATTGTAGGGGTTTCGATTGGATTAAAAGAAGATAAGGTCATTTATTAAATTATGCAAGTATAAAAATATCAATAAGACAAATGAAAAAGAAATACATGAAAGTAGCTATGTGGTTCTATTACTGGTATATAACTTGTCACCCAAGATTGTACAGTAAATTACTCAGCTGCCAGGTCAGTAAAGGGACCCCTGACATTTTATTACAGAATGTTGACATCTTAATCCTTTCAGCTAACAATAGGAACATGGAAATATTAAGTTCTACAGCTGGTTTATAATACAAAATTGAACATTTTAGAGTTAAGTATGCAAGAGTTAAGTATGCAAGAGTTAAGTATGCAAAAGGAACAATAAGACTTCTACAGAGTAACAAACTTTGGGATAAAAAATTCAGGTTGTTGTTGGGTGTGAGGTGTTGCTCAAGAGAGGTTAAATATATTGTAAAGACTCACTTTTAGAACAACTGAAAATGTTGTTGTAAAGAAATAATTGCTCTACAAAGGTAATTACTATACAGAGGACTATTCTGTAGCAGTTGTACTGTATCTACTATTTACTAAAAATAGAGTTACCTCTCTCCCTTAATTCCTTGATAGCTTCATCGATTTCTTCAGTTGGGTATCCCATTTCTTTACAAGCATCTTTAAGTTCATTTATTGCAGCTTGTAATTCAGGATCTCGTATTTCCATGCGTTCTAGAGCAGCCGAAATACCATTTCCAGTAATATTCTCCTATTAAATTATGATAAAATTATTATTGTAAATATCAAAGCTTTACTAAAGATACAAATGTAGTTAAGTACATGTATGTCCATGTATTAAAAATAGAAACTTATCATTCATCTGTAAATATATGTACGTTGGAATACAATTGTATTTGTGTTTTTTTGCATTGTTTTTTAGACCAATTTTAAGATATATTATGCATGTATTGTCATATCTTGGCAGTTGATCCACCTAACTGACTATACTGGAGAAATAACCGGTTATTACCAATATCTCCGCAAGTGATCAACTAATAATCTCACATGATTTCAGAATCAGCAGTGAGAGACAAATGAGCCATGTCATGACAAAACCAACAAAGTTTGCCTAAATTTTCTTAAAGGTATATTGGTTGATCATGCGAAATATAAAATACTTTTACCGTGTAGTTTTTATTTTATTAAACTTTGAAAATATCTGGTATCATATTTGCTATACATTTTGGCATTATTTAGCAAATAAATACCTACAAAAATTAAATAATTTAAATCAAACCCTTTTTCTTCCATAAGGGATCAGAGAGATACATAAATAATGTTTAAAAGAAAGAAAAAAAAGTTGCCCCTTCTGGGGTTTGAACCCACGCCCTCAATTTCAATGTAGTTGGCAAGTGATTCTAGCCTATTTGAATACTCTTCAAAGTGAAGGTAATGCATTACTCATGGTCTACCTTAAGGGATTTTGATATCTGACTGTAATTAATTGACCTTTCAACAGTATAAAGCATAGTCACTTAAACTACACAGATTTGCAGACTGTCCTAGCTGGTTCTACAGGGGTGGCAAGAACTGATCACTTCCAGGTCCAGCAGGTTATGGGTTAAATTGAAATTATTGATATAGATTACTTAATTAAAGTTAATATTGACCTGTTTTACATTAAAGTACATTTGTAAATTTAGAATTTAGTTTTCTTCTCATAAAATACCTGATTTTCCATGGCGATGGCCGCCTGAATGGCTGCGATAAAATCATCACCTTTCTGGGTTCTGGCGAACGGACAAGCTGGGAACCATCTACAGTGTTCGGTCCATGGATCATCTTCTGGATCCCAGTGTTGTAGTCCGCCATCACAGGCGAAACAACGCACACGGTCTTCATGACCTTTAACACGAAAAATAATATATTTAACTAAGTGATGTAGCATATTTAAGAACAAACTACAAAGTACAAAGTCTAATTAAAACTTTAAATTCATAATGATGTTTGTAAATTAAATATGTTTTAAATAAATACCAATTAAAGATAAAAACAATAATCTGAAAAACAAACAAGTCACCTCTTTATAACTTCAGCTCTAATCTCCTGGTTCTAAATAGAATAGCTGATGGTTCATTTCCGATATTCTATTTTTAGAAACAAACAGCACTAGCACGTTATAAACAGCTCTCAGGGCACTGTTTTGAAGAAGAAGTTACTGAAATACTTAGTTTGAAACAACACAGAATTGATATTCCAACAGAAAAATAAAGCTAAAGTTTAGCTTTATTTTCTGTTGGAATATCAATTCTGTGTTAAAACGCAGCTTAAAATAAACCACACAAATTATTTTGTAAAGCTGCTTGATTAATCATGTTTATTCATTCCTGTAAGAGCGTTCTGATGACAAATTTACAAGAAGGTTTAGTTTAGATATTTCACCTGTGTGATAAAGTCCAGCCTCTGCTAATTGATTAGGGGTCTGTATCATATGTGGTGGCCAATTAGTGAAAGACCCCAGGCGTGCCTCAAACGTCTGGTATTCAGGGTGACGGTACACAGCGTTTGCTGGATCATATCTGTGTCTCTCTACAAATTTATGAAAACAAATACTTTTAATTAAAAGAAAAACTTTGTGAAATGGAAAATGTAGTCTTTTATCACAGGTGTTCAAAATAAATAGCAAACAATGATTATTCAAATGTAAAAATAAAATGGTCCCCTTAATTAAATGGCAAAATTCCTTATAACAGTACTTTTTCAAATGTGGTCATGATAATAGAAGTACCACAGGTTTGACTGTAGTTGTTTAATAATATAAATCAATAATTTAAACCCCTAGCTATTTGTGTAGAAACTTTGTAAATACTTGCCGAAGAATAAGGTAGACTTATTTCTTCACAGATTATACAAGTATCTCATATAATAATCTTTTTTATACATGTAATGTAGTAGAAAAAATTCAACAGTAAATGAGAAACTTTAACTTGCTTTCAGATTACTTTTAACTTTATCATATTTTTTCTTTCTGAAAACAAGAACCTTCGTCTGATTTGGTCACATCAGTAGTGACAATATCATATGGTAAAACTCTTGGTCAATATAACTGGTAAAGGACTTACTAAAGTGTCACTTTTGCGTTAACTTGTACACAAGCACATAGTTAGGTAGAACCATCAAAATACTAGATTATAAGCTCCGTGTATATGCCTTGGAACAATTCAACATCTCCAACAGGATTTTACTAAGACAAATTTCCTTTACGTTAACCAACTAAACTTTTGGTATCCTGTCTTTGAATTACAATGTATCTATGAATTTCAATTTAAATGAGCTTAATTATAACATATTACCACTCCACTGTATTCTTCTGTTGAATTCTGGGTCCTGGGATTGTAGCTGTCTCTGGAAATATAGAGGAACATGTGTTTGGAGGTGTAATATCTAGGTAACATTTTCAGTTTATTTTGTCTAGGTCAATGCTAGTGTCAAACTTAATTAAGGTAGCTTCACAAATGATTTAAATACAGATGTTTCATTATTTATTTTAAAGCAACACGCCTCTTATATGATTCATTTTAATTTTCATGAAAATTTTAGAAGTGTATTTGAAAGTAAAATATTGTGAGGTGAACAAATAAAGTAATTTATATATATAGCAATCGGCACTTACAATCCAAGAAAAGTGGTGAACATAAATTATATGCAAAAACAGACCTTACTGCATAAGTAATACAGAAGAAATATGGTGATCAACCGCACGTAACATGTAAAATATAACTTGGATCTTGAATGTTTTTACCTTACTTAAAATTTTAGTACATTTTTCTCATTATTGACTTCCTTGAAATATTTTGGCTCATCTGTGCTGCTTTAAAAATTCAAATCATTTGTTCCATTTAATTGATATTGTTGGTGTTAACCTATGATATTAGAGACATTTGTGTATTTGAGTTTATTTATAATCACCACCATTTGCTCATATGGGCAAATCCTCCAGAAGATTATTAGTCATTTCATATTTTGGAGGATAGTGCAAGATACAGAAAGATGCCATAATGCCAGAATCTTTAGCATGTTTAGTGCTCTTTAGTGTTCTTTCAGGTTCATTAGCATGCAAAGTGCTTAAGCACTCATACAAGAGACTTTGATTTAAAGTCTCATCCAATAGTAACCAAAATTTAGTCGGCCAGTCTGGGAATCGAACCCAAAATGTTGAGATTACAAATCTCATGCTCTAAGCAATTGAGCTATACAGGCTGGCCATAATGATCCTTAAAACACTGCACTTGCTTGAAATATGGTACACAAAATGTATTTGCTAAATTAACATTTTTATTTTGTGTATAATATGTTAATTTGAATTCACAATAATGTACTAACTCATGCAATTCATTGAAAGTACTGTTTCAGTGAAAGATAAATTTTGTGGTATTTTTATAAAAACTAACAAGTCACCACCTAAATACATTATTTTATTCAATGCAGGCATGTCTAAATGAAAATCCAATGTTTCACCACAGAGCTCAGCTACATAAGTGAAGTATCTGGTTCCCATGTCTAAATGAAAGTGCAGTATTTCACACGTGTAAATGAAAGTCCAATGTTTTACCAAAGAGCTATATAAGTGAAGTATCTGGTTTCTCATGTTGAAATGAAAGTGCAGTGTTTCACATGGCTAAATGAAAGTCTAATGTTTCACCACAGAGCTACATAAGTGAAGTATCTGGTTACCCATGTCTAAATGAAAGTGCAGTATTTCACATGTCTAAATGAAAGTCTAATGTTTCACCACAGAGTTATACAAGTGAAGTATCTGGTTACCCATGTCTAAATGAAAGTGCAGTATTTCACATGTGTAAATGAAAGTCCAATGTTTCACCACAGAGGTACATAAGTGAAGTGTCTAAATGAAAGTGCAGTATTTCACATGTCTAAATGAAAGTCCAATGTTTCACCACAGAGCTATATAAGTGAAGTATCTGGTTACCCATGTTTAAATGAAAGTGCAGTGTTTCACATGTCTAAATGAAAGTCCAATGTTTCACCACAGAGCTACATAAGTGAAGTATCTGGTTACCCATGTCTAAATGAAAGTGCAGTGTTTCACATGTCTAAATGAAAGTCCAATGTTTTACCACAGAGCTATATAAGTGAAGTATCTGGTTACCCATGTTTAAATGAAAGTGCACTTTTTCCACATGTCTATATGAAAGTGCAGTGTTTCACAGATATTTATTAACATATGTCTCATATTTAAAACAAGAGGGCCATGATGGCCCTGAGGTCGCTCACCTGTATATAGCCCCCCCCCCCCCCGGCCCAATTTTTACCCAAGGGCTTTTATTTGTTTATTTGAACAGACTTGGTAGACACCCATAAGAAGATGTTTCATGCAAAACATCTAAGTTCTAGCTCATTAGGTTTTTTAAAAGAAGATTTTTCAAGTTTTTACTATACACATACATGTATAGTTAAAAACAATGACACCCCTCTGGCAGGGCCAGTTTTGACCCCTGGGCTTTTATTTGAACAAACTTTGTAGATATTTACTTAAAGATGTTTCATGCTTAATATCTAAACTCTAGCTATTTGGGTTTTTTCAAAGAAGATTTTTAAGTTTTTGCTATACACATATAAGGAAAATCAATGACCCCCGGGGCGGGGCCAGTTTTGACCCCAGGGCTTTTATTTGAACAAATACTTGGTAGACACCCATTAGAACATTGTCATTCATGCTGCCAAATATCTTAGCTCTAGCTCTTTGGGTTCTTTAAAAGAAGATTTTTTAAGTTTTTACTATATGCATATAGGGAAAATCAATGACCCCTGGGGCGGGGCCAATTTTGACCCCAGGGCTTTTATTTGAACAAACTTGGTAGACATTCACTAGAAGATGTTTCATGCCAAATATTCTTTAAAGCTCTAGCTCTTACAGTTCTTTAAAAGAAGATTTTTTGCAAGTTTTTAAAGAATTTTTAGTTTACTATATGCATATAGGGAAAATCAATGACCCCCTGGGCGGGGCCAATTTTGACCCCAGGGCTTTTATTTGAACAAACTTGGTAGACATTCACTAGAAGATGTTTCATGCCAAATATCTAAGCTCTAGTTCTTACAGTTCTTTAAAAGAAGATTTTTTAAGTTTTTACTATATGCATATAGGGCAAATCAATGACCCCCGGGGCCGGGCCAATTTAGACCCCAGGGCTTTTATTTGAACAAACTTGGTAGACATTCACTAGAAGATGTTTCATGCCAAATATCTTAGCTCTAGCTCTTTCGGTTCTTTAAAAGAAGATTTTTTAAGTTTTTACTATATGCATTTAGGGAAAATAAATGACCCCCTGGGGCGGGGCCAATTTGGACCCCAGGGCTTTTATTTGAACAAACTTGGTAGACATTCACTAGAAGATGTTTCATGCCAAATATCTAAGCTCTAGCTCTTACATTTCTTTAAAAGAAGATTTTTTAAGTTTTTACTATATGCATATAGGAAAAATCAATGACCCTCTGGGGCGGGGCCAATTTTGACCCCAGGGCTTTTATTTGACCAAACTTGGTAGACAGTCACTAGAAGATGTTTTATGCCAAATATCTAAGCTCTAGCTGTGAGGGTTCTTTAAAAGAAGATTTTTTAAGTTTTTACTATATGCATAAAGGGAAAATCAATGACCCCCCAGGGCGGGGCCAATTTTGACCCCAGGGCTTTTATTTGAACAAACTTGGTAGACATTCACTAGAAGATGTTTTATGCCAAATATCTAAGCTCTAGCTCTTACAGTTCTTTAAAAGAAGATTTTTTAAGTTTTTACTATATGCATATAGGGAAAATCAATGACCCCCCCAGGGCGGGGCCAATTTGGACCCCAGGGCTTTTATTTGAACAAACTTGGTAGACATTCACTAGAAGATGTTTCATGCCAAATGTCTAAGCTCTAGCTTTTAAAGTTCATTAAAAGAAGATTTTTTAAGTTTTTACTATATGCATATAGGGAAAATCAATGACCCCCTGGGGCGGGGCCAATTTTGACCCCAGGGCTTTTATTTGAACAAACTTGGTAGACACTCACTAGAAGATGTTCCATGCCAAATATCTTAGCTCTAGCTCTTACGGTTCTTTAAAAGAAGATTCTTTAAGTTTTTACTACATGCATATAGGGAAAATCAATGACCCCCCGGGGCGGGGCCAATTTTGACCCCAGGGCTTTTATTTGAACAAACTTGGTAGACACTCATTAGAAGATGTTTCATGCCAAATATCTAAGCTCTAGCTCTTTCGGTTCTCTAAAAGAAGATATTTAAAGATTTTTTCTTTTGGTTGCCATGGCAACCAGAGTTCTGCATGGAATTAAATTCTTTGAACAATTTTTAAAGGTGACCACCAAAGGAACATTCCTGTGAAATTTGGATGAAATTGGCTCAGTGGTTTATGAGGAGATGTCATTTAAAGCAAAAATTTACGGACGGACGACGGACGGACGACGGACGGACGGACGGACGCCGGACGAAAAGCGATCACAAAAGCTCACCCTGTCACTTTGTGACAGGTGAGCTAAAAACATTCCATAATTTGAAAAGCTGGTATAATAGTATCTTGCAGCTACATGTACAATGTATATTACTTTTTTTATAAGTCTCTACTAGTATACTTATAAAAATAATATTTCACTGAATGTAATCTATCATAAATAATCTTGATTTTTGTACTCAAAATCTAGAGAAAGTGGGCATCAATTCCTTCATTATTATATACTTACTCTTATAGCAGCTAACTGGCTTGCTCCCAGATATTCTAGTAAATACGGGCAGTCACCGGAATGTTTCACGTGCTCGTGTAACGGGTTATCTTCCTCGCAGAAGTCCTTTAACCCTATTCCACATTGATAACATCTTACTAGATCTGCATCATCTAAAATTATAACTTTGTTGTCATTATGTTTGCTTTGTATTTGATTAAATAAATAAATAAATAAATAATTATAAATAAATAAATATTTAAAAAAATAAATAAATAAATTATAGGTTTGCTATTATATTTTTTTACTGTTTTAAATTTAAAAAAATGAACTAATATATATATATATATAAACATTAACAAATCCTAAGATTTGCTTCATGAAAGTTCACTTACTTGTATAGAAGAATCCAGCATTGGTCAATGTTTGTGGATCAGGTTTTCTATGCCTCCACCTAGCATAAGATCGAAGCCTTTCGCTACTATCGACATAGTCGGGGTGCCTAGGTGGCCTCGTAATGACAGGGTTGTTTGAAATGTTATTTCTTATTGTTGAAGACTGAACTTCATTTCCCTGTCTGCTTTGTTGAGCTTGACTGACATTTGTATTCAGTCTGTTTTCACCGTATCCGTTAAGGCGATGCGACGTATGTTCACGTCCACCAAAAACATATCTTGAGGCAGAGTTATCATTTGCCGGAAGTGACGCACCACTTGAGAATGCGAACTCGCTCCTGTCAGAGCTGGCTTGATCGTCTGACACTTGCTGAGGGTAGTGGTTACGGTCATTCATGATCCTGGGTAGTAAAACTGATCGTCGTTTTCTTGATTTAGTATGCAAACTATTGTCATTACGTGAAGGTAACAAAACCTTTGAAGAATTTAAAGAAATGGACTTGTGACCATACTCTTTAATAGGAAAAATGTGAAGGCAGCACATTTGGTCGAAACCAAATAACATTTATAAGATAAAATAAAAAGTTTTTAACGGCCAGTTCATACATATGGTGATTTCTTCGGCACAGCTTTGCATTTTTTTAGTTACGCTTTAGTTGATGAAATTCGTAATCCCTCTTTATACAATTGCTGACGACCCTGTTCATTCTTTTACCTGAAATATTAAAATTATTTCATGATGTAAGACTTGTTTATATACTGTGATACTGGCACTGTGAGAGCTTAGACTCAGGCTGAAAAACTTCAGCCATTTCCAACAAAGTGCACATAATCTGGGTTATTAGATTATCTATTTATTCTGTACATGTAATGTATCATTTGGACTACAGAAATAATGTTTTGAAGCAATTTCTTAGACTTTTATCAGCAGTTCTATAAGCCTATATAAAGCAATCTGATTCAAAAATATAGCCATGCCAGTTCAAAAAAGTGCTACCATAAATATATGGAGTCCCGTTATCTCTTCGAAACGACTGATTTTTTTATCAATCTCAAATTTTAATTGGACAAGAGACAGCGAATTTTTGCGGTTACGATTGCGTTTCATTTTAAACAAGATATGTTTGTAAAACATGTATGCCCCCTATCAGCAGCCAATTATTCATGTGATAAGGTAATTATGCATGACTTCTGACCCAGTGATCAAACAATTAATAAGGGTTATCAAGTATCTACTGGTCATGACCTTGACCTTTGACCCCTTGACCCAAAACTCAATAGGGGTCATCTGCTGGTCAAGACAAATCATCATACAAAGTTTGAAGTTCCTAGGCCTAAGCGTTTTTACTTAATTGATCAGAAACCGTTTTTACTTACAAGGTCAATGTGACCTTGACCTTTGACCCCTTGACCCCAAAATCAATAGGGGTCATTTGCTGGTCATGACTAAACACCATGCCAAGTTTGAAGTTCCTAGGCCTAAGGGTTCTTTTATTATTGATCCGAAACCGTTTTTAACATACAAGGTCAATGTGACCTTGACCTTTGACCCCAAAATCAATAGGGGTCATCTGCTGATCATGACCAATCACTATGCCAAGTTTGAAGTTCCTAGGCCCAAGTGTTCTTTAGTTATTGATCAGAAACCGTTTTTACTTACAAGGTCAATGGGACCTTGACCTTTGACCCCTTGATCCCAAAATCGAAAGGGGTAATCTGCTGGTCATGACCAATCACCATACCAAGTTTGAAGTTCCTAGGCCTAAGGGTTCTTAAGTTATTGATCGGAAAGCATTTTTACCTACAAGGTCAATGTGACCTTTCCCTTTGACCCCTTAACCCCAAAATCAGTAGGGGTCATCTGCTGGTCATGACCAATCACCATACCAAGTTTGAAGTTCCTAGGCCTAAGGGTTCTTTAGTTATTGATCGGAAACTGCTTTTACCTAAGAGGTCAATGTGACCTTGACCTTTGACCCCTTGACCCCAAAATCAATAGGGGTCATCTACTGATCATGACCAATCACCATACCAAGTTCGAAGTTCCTAGGCCTAAGGGTTCTTTAGTTATTGATCCGAAACTGTTTTTACCTAAGAGGTCAATGTGACCTTGACCTTTGACCCCTTGACCCCAAAATCAATAGGGGTCATCTACTGATCATGACCAATCACCATATCAAGTTTGTAGTCCCTAGGCCTAAGGGTTCTTTCGTTATTGATCGGAAACCGTTTTTACCTACAAGGTCAATGTGACCTTGACCTTTAACCCCTTAACTCCAAAATCAATAGGGGTCATCTACTGATCATGAACAATCACCATATCAAGTTTGAAGTCCCTAGGCCTAAGGGTTCTTTCGTTATTGATCGGAAACCGTTTTTACCTACAAGGTCAATGTGACCTTGACCTTTGACCCCTTAACCCCAAAATCAATAGGGGTCATCTGCTGGTCATAACCAATCACCATACCAAGTTTGAAGTTCCTAGGCCTAAGGGTTCTTTTGTTATTGATCGGAAACCGTTTTTACCCAAGAGGTCAATGTGACCTTGACCTTTGACCCCTTGACCCCAAAATCGTTAGGGGTCATCTACTGATCATGACCAATCACCATACCAAGTTTGAAGTTCCTAGGCCTTAGGGTTCTTTACTTATTGATCGGAAACCGTTTTTGCTTACAAGGTCAATGTGACCTTGACATTTGACCCCTTGACCCCAAAATCAATAGGGGTCATCTACTGATCATGACAAATCACCATACCAGTTTGAAGTTCCTAGGCCTTAGGGTTCTTTAGTTATTGATCGGAAACCGTTTTTGCTTACAAGGTCAATGTGACCTTGACCTTTGACCCCTTGACCCCAAAATCAATAGGGGTCATCTACTGATCATGACAAATCACCATACCAAGTTTGAAGTTCCTAGGCCTTAAGGTTCTTTAGTTATTGATCGGAAACCGTTTTTTGCTTACAAGGTCAATGTGACCTTGACCTTTGACCCCTTGACCCAAAATCAATAGGGGTCATCTACTGATCATGACAAATCACCATACCAAGTTTGAAGTTCCTAGGCCTTAAGGTTCTTTAGTTATTGATCGGAAACCGTTTTTTGCTTACAGGTCAATGTGACCTTGACCTTTGACCCCTTGACCCCAAAATCAATAGGGGTCATCTACTTGTCATGACCAATCACCATACCAAGTTTGAAGTTCCTAGGCCTAAGGATTCTTTAGTTATCACTCGGAAACCATTTGGTCTACGGACCGACGGACCGACGGACCGACAGACCGACGGACCGACGGACCGACAAGTGCAAAGCAATATACCCCCTTTTTTTCAAAAGGGGGCATAACAAATGAAAATCGTGGAGTACCTACACTGCAAAATTTAAGTAAATTGGATAGTAATTCAATAAATGTCACACATGTTTAAGCTACAATTCTACAAGTGGAACCAGGAGTTATTAAAAAGTGCTTCAGTTATGGGAGAATGGCTGTGTTAGTCAAGTGAAAATCTTCCAAATAGAAAGACCCGATCAAACTAGTTCGTATCAGTAAGTCCACACTGCCAGCTTTCTTCATTAACAAGTTAACTGAATAAGTCTACAGAAATTCCTTCGAGGAAAGCAGCATTTTTTACTTGGGTTTTACGTCACATCGACACAGAATAAGTCATTTCTTTACTGGAGGAAGAAGACCTCAGGTGTCCCTCCGTGCATTTTTTTAGGCACGAACGGGCACCTGAGTAGAACCACCGACGTTCCATAAGCTAGCTGGATAGCTTCCTCACCATAAGCTAGCTGGATAGCTTATGAAAGAATCAAAAGTCCCTGTCGGGGATTCGAACCCACAGCGGTGAGGGGCAAGTGGTTTGAAGTCAACGACCTTAAACCACTCGGCAACGGACGCCCCTTAAAACGTTCGCCGCCATATCATTTATTTGTACATGTATGTGCTATCATTGCGCAAGACAGTGAAATAAATAAGATTGGCCTATGTACACTGAATGCGACGAGAGCTTTGTGATATCATGGATAGTTTCTTTACAAATGAATGAATCTCAAGGTAAATATATATTTGTTTTTTGTTGGTTAATTTTTGTTGTTGTTTTTTTTTTTTTTTTTTTTTTTTTAAACATTTTAACAGTTTTAAGATATTTATGATAACATGGAATGTGGATAAACACGGAAAAACATTGATCAGGTCTGTTTTAATTAATACACTGTTATAAATCGAAAAAACAAAAACAACCCCCACCTCAGCCCCCCCCCCCAAAAAAGAAAGAAATCAAATAAAAATAAAACACACACACGCACGCACACGCACACGCACGTACGCGCACAAAACAAAAACAACACGCAAACACACAAACACACGATTTGAGATGTATGAATTTAAAAAAAGAGTGAATTTACTTAAAAGATAAATTAAATTAGATCTACATTTCAGACACGTAAATGAAATAAATTGTATCGATGTTATAAAATGACTAAAATAGCCTACTTAGCGTATTTGCTGTGTCCAAAATAATAGAAATCTATATAATTTTAAAGAGCTCAAATTTTGATGTTTTTATTCAACTTGTTTTCGGGTTTTTTAGACAAAATGTTAAACCATTTTCTAAAAAAAAATAGATCTTATATAATAAAATAACGAAAATTTACGAAAACCAAACATGTAGCAGGTCTACCATGAAACATTTAAAAAAATCAGATATGTGTTTCAGCTTTCATACAATTTCCAGTTAGTTTCGGTTAATATTCAGTTTCCCCACTTGTCACTCTGTTCTATGTTTAGACATTGTAAACATTTAAACTTCCGGTCTAGATAGTATTAAATCTACACTACAGTAGTGATCTAGCGTTATTTGCTATATGCTTCAACAGACAACTGACACATAAAAAGAAAATAGGTCAAGCTTAAACTGATTTAGCGTACAGTAGGCTAACAACATAAATTGTATGTTAAAGTTCTTTAGATATACAGTTGAACTATCTATCTTCCAATGAGTCAAACCCCTGCTTGGGACCTAGAGCCAATTAGAAATAATATACAGGTACATGTTCCAGCTTGCAATGAATCAATTTAATTAATTCGTATACAAATAATTTAGCAAATCACCATTTTAACAACAACAACAACAACAAAAATCAATTTGCAGCTAACCTCTTCCAGCGTACTGTTTTGTAAACAAATAAAGGTTTTGGTCACGAAAATAAACAATTGCAGCCATTAAATTGATTAATACAAGCTTTTGTTATCGCATATTGATCTACTGTACATGTAGTAAGTCTTTACTTTAACCTTGACATTTATAATCATGAAAACAAATGCAAGACGATGCGTTATATAAGTCATATAAGTTATTTATAACTATCTGTCACAACCTATATATTGACATGAAAACAAAATAAAAATACCTTCAAATCCCTCCAAATCCCTCCAAAAGTAAGTGAACAAAAACCACCTCTTTTGAGAACTCAATATCAATTGGTTGAATGATCATCGCGGGGGCTCAGTATGGGGTCGTTATGTACAGAGGCGTAGCTTGTAGTACGCATATTATAGGCGTGCATTATATTAAATATTATCAACGATTTTCTTTTCTTTTTCTTTTAACATAGTTATACATATATCTTTCATATCCCTTTTAGAAAGAAAAAAGTGTTTATATTTAATTACATAATTAATTATGGGTATTTATGCTTAATCGAATAAAAAATATGGTACCTGATATTTTCAAAGTCTAATAAAAATTCATATTTTACAAGGTGAACCAATATACTTATGGGAAAAATCAAGGAAGCATTGAAAACAGCCCCACAATTTGGTAATTTTCAGAGATTTTTTTAATTTGATTCTCATAATTAGTAGGAAAACGGTCAAACAAGTGTTAAAAATGGGTGGGGTAGGGTAACATTTTTGTGCACATTTCATAAATTTTAAGTAGAAACAATAATTTTGCTTTTGTAGAATGTTAGCTGAATGTTATTATTTAATTGTTTCATAAGAATTATTAATGGGAAAACATTTTTGATAAGGAACATACTATATAGCTTGTTTGCTTCACATAATGGACCTTTCAATCAATTTTACTTCAAATGTTGAAAATTGAGTACCGCTCAAACCGGTGCTAGGAGCGAGATGGATGTTGCACATTTAAATTATTTCTCATTGTACAGACTCAATTAAACCGCCTCTAAATTTTCATGTAATTTTGTTGCAATTAAACGCTTCCGAGGGCTCACACTTTGTTCAGAAATTTACACAAACTTCTAGCTCTTGTTTTTAATAATGAAAAATCATTCAGACGTTTGAGAGAAGTTACCTCTATTATTAAACCTTTCCTAATTATAAGATGTAAACTATAATACGCTATGTTTTGATTCCCTTAAAAGTAACGTACGCATTTTAAGGGAAAAAACTACAGATAAAACAAAAACAACAATAATAATGATAAAAAAAATAAAAAAACGAACAATTTTTTTTGCGTGCATATTTTTTTTTTCTTTTCGTATGATCATGTGTTCAAATGTTTACGTACATACTTAGTGGATGATTATTTAGTATGCGCTTATTATTGCGTTCTATATTAAATGGAATACTCTATATAGTGTGACACACACAGACACTAGAATGACCATTCAAACTGTAATTTAAAACACAATGCAACAAAAAATGTCCCAATGTAATGAAAGATGATAATTATGATATCACTTTGATCACCACATATATAATCTAAAAATCAATGTAAGAGTTTACAAAATGAATGCACAGATCGATCGTATATCATATACATGTATGTAGTTTCAACTATGGCATTGACCATTCGAACTAAATATAGGCTGGCAGAAAATAATAGCCTGGATAATGTAAAATTCATTGATAAAATAAGGGCCATAATTCTGTCAAATCCCAAAGCGAAAAGTAACAGAGCGAAAACGATGATCTGATTTGAAGAGGTAATTTATTTTATAAGGGAAATCATCCTATGAAATTGAATACTCTGAGCCCATACTGCTAGTCCCACCCCTAAGTAATTAAGCAAAAACGCGTTTTGAATTCACATACACTGTGGCCTTGACCTTTGACCTACTAACTAATCTTATGGTTGATAAGGGAAATTATTAATTAAAGCTGCATAAATTTTCGAAGTATTTGAAGGTACCTGCTACCTGGTACCTGTACGAAATGCTTCATGACAAATATCTAAGCTCTTGACACATAATATTTCTACCTAATTAAATGTGGTTACTATGAAAAGAAAGTCTATATAAACTAGTTGATCCTGTGGGCAGGGTCAAGTTTTGACCCATGTGTATGTTTTATATAACTTTTGTCGAGGAGAATAAGGTTATAATTTTATATGCTTTATGCAAAATATCTTAACTCTAGGCATTGTACTTTCAGGCAAGAAGAATTTTAAAAAGAACCACACAGATCAGGTAATCTAAGAGCCCCTGGGCGTAGCCATTTTTAATCTCAGGGGCATCAGACATAAATTGTTTAGAAGTCCACTTGGCAATGCTACATGCAAAATATCTAAGCACTTGATCCATTGTGTTTCAGATAAAAAAAACTGAGTGACACTAAAGGTAGGGTCGATTTCGGCCAAAGAATCTTTATTTAAATATCCTTTTAGAGGGTCATTAATTAGGTGATGTCACATGTCAAACATCTAAGCTCTTAGCATAGTAGTCTCTGAGTTTAAAGATATTTTTACTTCATTGTATATACGTTTTTTACAAATTAAGTGATCCCGGGATGAGACTAACTTTGATCCCTCAAGTTGTTTAGGTGAAGATTTTGTTTTGCGTTGGACAACAACGTACAACTAACTCAGAAAACTCCCATTACAGAGCCCACATTTAAGCGCAAATTGCTCAGGAGAGCTAAACATGCTTTTTTGTTTTGTTTTTTTTTGTTTTGGGTTTTACGTCACATCGACACAGCATAATATTATATTGTTCCGGAACATTTTTCATTGTGCTATTCATTATTCATATGTGTTAAATAACAAAATCATTAAAATATGTTATTCTTATTTTCAGATTCAACCATAAATATATTGAAAACAGCAAAAATTTACCATTTTTATAAATTAAATGAAAAAACAAATAGTACATAAAATATAACTTTATGAACTTACAATTGATGGCGATCAAATAAAATAATCACGAAGTAAGCATGCATACGGTTAGGGAAAAAACAACATCCAGATAATTAGGTCCGTTTTGAAACAGATTATCACTATGAGAATGAAGCTAAATGATCTTTCTTCAAAAACAACGTTACTTACCGATCACATTAAGAGATATTCTATCCGACACTAAAACGAAATGCCTTACACGATCTGAAGATTCTAACTTTTATATTGTTATATCATTTCGATTTCTTGTGCAATAGTGAGTTACTTCCCCTTCTCTCGTTAATCACATGACGTTGTAATATCGTTGATACAATCTTGAATATACTTCGCGGCGTCAAAGACTAAAATATAGGTTAAAATTATAAAAGAATAAAAAATATGATGAATAAAATATTCTTAATATGCTACCACGTTGTACCAGCATTACTGGAACAACATGTTGGATTGACGTCGTGTCAACGTTCTCAGAAAATAGTTTAGGTTGATTTTCTTCCCTTTATTTTGATATATCAAAAGGAAATAAGTTTAATTTCAAAACGAGGCTAAAGCTACCACCTGTTTTCAAAATTGAACAGAAAAAAAACAACAACAACAGAAAAACAAAACAAACAAACAACAACAAAAAAGAACAAGAAATTGAAAAGCTGTTTTCATAATCTAGAGATATTTAATTAAATTCATATTCGTCAATAGTAATAGTACGCGTTAACAGAAACTAATATTTTTTCCCTCTTTAAAAAGAGCAAGCACGAGTTTAATGTGCTTTTAATCAGGAAACGTAATAATTGTTGATTTTATTACTAACTACATGTAGCTGTTTCTGGTTCGAGTAATTTCTATTGTTATTCTTATTTTGTTTTTACTAAGACTGTTTGACTTAACAGTGTTAGGATACAAAACCTGTTTGACTATTTCATGTGTATAACTTTTTATTTCGGTTTCCATTTTTAGTGTCAAAAAAGCGAATAATACCACGGAACAAGATGCTAGGATAGCTATTTGCAAGTGTTTGAAGGTTTCCAATACAGATGAGAACACTCAAAAGAATCAATTCTTGTTCATATTGTGGATTTTATCCCATATTTAATACTGCAAACACATCAGGTTGTAGAAAAAAGTGGCTTTCTAGTAAAAGAAAGTGAATTTTGATTATGAGTCAAGTTTATACTCATTTGTACATTTCGATCATTCCTGAATTCCCATTCTATATCGTGATTTTTTACTACTAGGGGCGTACCTCGGCTAAATTTAAGTATACGCCGAGTTAGGTGATCGGTCGAAGGGTCGCCAGAGTCTTATGTTTAAAATAGCTATGTGCTATGACCAGGGATTTAGGGGATATCTAAACGATGTAATGTCATTTAATTGCACTACTATTGTCTTTATATTTAGGTATGACAATAACATCATGCAAGTGCAAGAGAAATTGCACAGGGTCTAACGTGTACACAGTTTGAAATAATTAAAAACAAGAGAAATTGCACAGGGTCTAACGTGTACACAGTTTGAAATAATTAAAAACAAGAGAAATTGCACAGGGTCTAACGTGTACACAGTTTGAAATAATTAAAAACAAGAGAAATTGCACAGGGTCTAACGTGTACACAGTTTGAAATAATTAAAAACAAGAGAAATTGCACAGGGTCTAACGTGTACACAGTTTGAAATAATTAAAAACAAGAGAAATTGCACAGGGTCTAACGTGTACACAGTTTGAAATAATTAAAAACAAGAGAAATTGCACAGGGTCTAACGTGTACACAGTTTGAAATAATTAAAAACAAGAGAAATTGCACAGGGTCTAACGTGTACACCGTTTGAAATAATTAAAAAGTTATTTACTGTAAGAAAAAAAAAAAACATAGCCAGGTGTCTCTATTGTTATCAAGATGGGCATTATTTCCTTTTGAAAGAAGATTTTTGTCTTTGTTATTTTTCATAATAACTTAAGAGGAGGTATAATCAATGAAATATTCTTTATTTGTTTGTTTGTTTGTTTCATTAAAACGCCTTTTCCCAACAGTATTCTTTAAAATGATTTGTATGACGATAATACAAACACAACAGCTTAAGATATTTTAGTGTAACAATAAGTTATTGTATTCACAACTATAATGTAGTATCGCGACATCATTTAGGTCCCTTAAAATCATTTTAAAATGCGTATTTTATCAATGTTAAAGATAAGAATTGTTGTCTCAAATATTATTAACGCACATAAAAGAATGTTACTAGTTTAAAAAGATTCGCCAACTCGTTTGAAAATAAATGAATTGGGACATGACGTGTCTTATATTGCTATACTTTGTTCTCGTTGTATATTTATCAATGTTTTATATGTATAAATGACACTACGTATGATAAAATATATGTCATTGTTTGCAGACATATGTAATTATTTTTTATACTGAATAAAATAAGACAGTAGAAATAACTTTCTTAGTGATATATTTTGTAAATACATGTATTCTTTTTTTACGGTCAAATACACGAAAGTTGAGTATAGTTTACAGATGTGGTCAATGGTTCGCTGCAAAAAACAAAACAAAAAAAACACAAAAAACAAACAAAAAACAACTGATTCATATGCTCCAAATTATTCTACACAATTTGAATTCAAGAATGAATGTTACTTATTCAGAAATAATATACCAATGAATTCCATATGTTTAACTCTCTTCCGTTGTGCAACAAACGCCAAATTGCCGACAAGACATAATTTTGCTTATAAAATTAAAATATAAAAAAGGTTTAGTTTTAACTGGCTTTGATTCTTCTGTAAAGATGTTTGTAATAAATTGGACATTTTCTTAACATTATTTGGGTTTTGACAAGGTTCTTATCATTATTACAATGATTATTCAAAGCATAACTCAATCTAAGAAAGAGAAAAACTTACACAAAAAAGATGTTTATAAACTTTATATCATATTTTGTATTGTGTACGTCACTAAAGGTCTCACCCTTAATAGCATCCGCACAGGATGGCATAAATTCAAATGATAACTCCTTAAAAACTTTGATTACTCGGATTCCAGACTGGAACAATGATAGAATATTTCTCTTTTTAAAATGGCATCCCGTTGATATACCCAAACAATATTCCTATACATCCTTCTCTCAACCTTGGATTGATTGTGTATACACATCAAATTTGGTAACATATAAAATTGAATGCTAAGCATATTGTACCAATATAGCATCAATTAGTAGCTACAAATATGTTTACAAGTTAGTGATTTCATATTTTTTCTTCCAATCTACACTGAAATATATGCTTTACATGGCTTACCGTTATAAAATTGATCATGAATTTGTCACATATTCTAACACGACCCGCATTTTATTTTTTCACTTAAGAAATAACATCGGCCTGAGAGGTGTATATCGGCTATTTAACACCGGTTTGGAGTTTTGATGCGTAGGAATTGACCACGAAGGCATCAAAACGACAAAACCGGTGTTAAATAGCCGATATACACCTCTCAGGCCGATGTTATTTCGATTCTAACACGATGAAATAAGGAAAATCACTAATGTTATTTTTCAAGCGGAAATAACTTCCGGTGCCGATTTTCGTATAACGCTGTTCGATTTTCGCACCCTACTGTTGCGAAGATAGAGAAATTTTTAAACAAAAGAAATAATAAGAAAAAACACGTTATTTTATCAAGTTTTCAACATTAAAAACTTACGTCGTATTGTGTTTACATCAGTGCCCCATTTATCATTCTTGTCTGTATGAAATAACGTCAGCTTGTTTATGAATGAGTTGTTTACTTAGGATGACGTCATTACGCTGCTTACGGATTGGCGCCGTTTTGTCAAAATATTTATTAGCTGATATGGATCTAATATGTGGCGTTAGTGTATGTGAGATATTATTTCGGTATTGTATGAAAAGAAAACATTATACGAACTGAAAATTTAAATAAAAATGCTTTTAATTGTTGCTTTAAAATGCTTTGTAAACTATACAATCGAGGGTGAAAACATAACAGCGCATATACAAGTAGTCCCTAACGGGTGTTTATTGGCAGTTTAACACCAGTTTTTTTCCTTCTTTGTCTATAGTGACAAAATCACGTGAGTGTTAGAATATTGAATATAGAAGAACCGAAAGTGTGTGTTATTATGCAACAGAGTCACAATTGACGTTCTATATTTAGATATGTGACGTAATGATTATACATGTGACGTAACCACTAAAAGAATCCGACACGGCATGCGTGTGTTACGCATTGCTGAAAACAACTGGTTGACAACGCCTTTCTCTGTTTTGCTCTCTATGATAGTGTCAATGTTTAAAGTTGAAGACAGTATAAAATTCATCAAGAAAAGTGGAATTCAGAATTAAGCCTCAAATGTGAACTATTTACTGTAGAACAAAAAGTACAAAATTTCAGAGGACCGACTCCATTAGTATCACAAAATGCATTAGAAATTGAAACATGACGGGTTCCTTTAGAAACAGATACAATGTACATCTAAAAGTGTTCTATTTCTGAAGACAAATAACCTTACAAGAAATTATTATGTCATTGAACATTATGCAAGCTAACATTTCTGTATGACTGAATGGAAAACTAAGAATTAATATACAAGATAACCAGTTTTACTCGGTCGATTTTTTAAAAAGAAATACTTCTTGTTTCGTCATACGATCGTACACATTCGAGGGGGCGGGGGGTGGGGGTGGAGTGACGAGACGTACTTCACTAATGACTTAAAATATACTTTCAATTGAACAGAACTTTTATTATCATAGATTTCGTGATATCACAGCTGGAAAAGTTAGGTACTAGTACTACAATTATCATTATTTTTTATATATTGTACTTTCCAGACAACGCATTATTAATCAGAATGGATACTTCACAAAGGCGGGACAACACTCAGTAAAATACTTGTAAATGTGTTTCAGTAATAGACGGAAATAAGACGAAATAAACCATTTTAACAACACACAAGGGCGTATAATTGACAATAAGGGAAGAGGCCATGAAATTTGTCGCATAAGTGTATTTTCCTAATGACGATAGCTTAATGAAATAAACATTTGATCAAGGAAACAGGAGCATTATTTCCAATGGCTTTAAACTGCATGGGTCGAGAAACCCGTTGCAGAATATGGCGGATGACACTTTATTTTCTGTTTAGCTCGACTTTGCTTTCGACGGAAAAACGTGTCGTTACAGTTATGGTGGCGTTCCCGTTGCCGTCGACAAACTTTAACATTGAGCATAACTTGTATAAGACTTGCAGACTATAATTTGACCTTCATTCATGAATTACCTTGATCTTCAACGTCAATATTTCTAAATTGTGCT